ATTCCTTGCCCTACGCGACAGTATTCTTAGTTTTCTTCAAGTTTCTCTTTCCACTAATATTTTATTGATAAAAATGGGGTGTCAGGTCGACGAAATTGAGCATTTTCGACAGCCTCTCTTTTATGGCTCTAATTAAAAAGCTAAATTCGCATGGGTTTAGCTGCTAAGTAAGTGGCTGAAAGGCCACGTCTCTTAGGAATGCTAATAATATTTCAAGTGATTCGAAGTTTCCAGTTTCGACCTCATAGACAAGCATCGAACCTAATGCCCTATTCTGTCCAGCTGAGAGCTTGCGGATTACCTTATTCGCTGAGAATCATGCCAGAGATTGAGGGATCGTCGGAGGTCGTAGAATGCTTCCTCATCATTATCAAGCATCACCTTCACTTAAGTGGAGAAGTTCAAAACTTGGTGGATGGGTTCCGCAGGCATGATGGGCGCGTGGGGGACGCGATACTCTTTTTACAAGGTCCGAATTCCCACTACTTGGTAGCTTGAACTAATTTAAAGCTATCGTAAGAAGCATCCCGAAGCCGAGATACAATTCAAAAAGTAGCTGTGGAAATCTCACTTTTGTGTCGACACGAGTTTCCTTTTAATGAAATAAAAATCGGCGGAAATCATGAAACAGTAGGGAAGGGAGGTAACCACACTGTCTTATATAGCAGGAAATTATCTATCGAACAGTGTAGGACATATTGGGAAAAATTGTCGTTGTTCATATAAAAATTTGTGTGACAAAAAACGCCATTACTTATGGGCCAATCCCAATACAATATCCTTTGCTTATTTCTTTGTAAACAGTAAATTAGAAACAAAGAAAAACAAACATTGGGGAAAGGAATACACTCCACATCACAGATGATCCGTTTCGCCCGTTATCGTAGACGAATCATCGATGTCTTACCAACCCCCGGGCTCCTCAGTACGATAGAGTTGAGACATGGACATGGACTACATAGGGGAAGGAGTTAAGAAAAGGATATAGCGAGAAAAATGCAAAAAAGTTGACATGCAAAATCCATGCAATAAAGATGAGAAGGAACTGTGCAAGGTAAATGAAAGAAGGATATAACCGGTGTGAGTACAAGATTGGTGTAAGAGGAAGAAAAATGGATTGTTGTAGATGGGCTAAACAAACTAAGGTAATAATGAGTAAAAGACACTGTCGCAGCGGATTAAAAAAGGTTAAATCAAAAATTTTGTGGTAAAAGGAGAGCTAGTGTTGAACACCGCTGCCAATGAGAATACCTCTAACCAGTCTACTTATCTTTTTATAGTTATTTGCAATAGAGTATTTGTAACTTATAAATTTATTTTTGTAAATACATTTCACAATGCTAGTAATAATAAAATCTTCTTCGTAGCCATTTTTCAAAAGAGTGGTGACATATCCGTTATTTTGCTAACGAAAGCGTTGAAGAACGAACAAGTGTTCGCTAACCTCAAAGTTTCCGTATATACAGAGGATTTGTTGATAAGAGAGATATTTGTGTCCCTATACGGAAATCTGATAACACTGAAGGTAAAATCATCCGTTTTTATACAGCTTGGTACTAATTTTACCGTTAATGATATTAATTGTTAAATCTAAATAATTACTAGAAACCTCACTCCTTATGAGTTTTTTTCAACTGAAGGGTATTTTGATAAACTTGAGAAAGTTGTTCATCCACATCATCATCAGTTTGGTTATGTACAACAAGCAAATCATCCATATATCTATATGGAATGAACAGCTTACAGTTGGACCGAAAAAGTGCAGCAGTTGCTAAAAAATTTATAAAATCAAGACGGATTGGGAAATGGAGCGCACGACGTTTACAAATTGTTCAGTTATTCTATTCTGCAACCTTTTAGTCCAGTCATGACCTTAGTTTTGGCTTTACTTTACTGAGCTTTACTTTACTGCTTTACTGACTTAAAGGCACATTCCGCGATAAAATAAGGCTATGACCTCTCAAATGTGTCGGACGATCCGGAAGGCGATTTTTGAGGCTGCGCTACTTTCAAAATGTGAAAAACGGCAAGAACTCCGCTAGAAGCTGACTAATTAGGCCCATGGACACCCCTTAGGCCCATGCCGACCCTCACCGGCTGCTAGCTACTAGCTAGTAGCCACTATGTTATCTTTCTCTATAACATTTCGGACTGCTTTTTCTGCTGCTTTTCTCCGCTAATCAGATACTTAGCACTTTTTTGTGCCTATTTGAGTTCCGTTTCCCGCAATTTGCGGTCGCGAACTGTGCCTTTAAGAAAGTTGATCGTTCAAAGTGAAACACCTGATTTATATCTATCTAGTTATCTTGATTTTATCAGCTGATTACTTCCTGTCACCTATCGAATGTTCCGGTCTCAACCTCTATATCATACTTTGCAATCCAAGTTCTCACTGCTACTGGGACAGGCGCTATGAATTTCGTGACACACAGACAGACGCACACACAAACATACACACAGACAGACAGCAAATTATATTAGGTTGTCCCAAAAGTTCGTGGACATTTTTTGAATCTCGTATCAGATCTTTCCGCAGCCATTTCGAGATCCATTTATGTGGTCTAACAAGGGAGGTCTTTCAGGTCGTGGCGCGCTTTTCAGAAATGGTTTGTTGCATGTTGTAGGGGTCCATATAAGGATCACAAAAATGGGTTTCGTTTTTGCTATGCGCTTCTGGGGAGGTCAAAAAATGGGTGAAAAGTTTGCTGGGGAAAAGCGATTTTGAACCATTTTTCTAGGCTTTTTTTCTATCTCTAATGTTGAGTATGCACAGCAAATGAGACCTTCGTCGACATCGAAAACAATACAAGTCAAGGTGAAAAAAGTACTTTATTTGGCACACAGTGAGGCAGCATTGTAGTTTCTCAAGTGATTCTCGCAGCATCCCAACCCGCAGTTAGGGGGGGGGTATTCAGAGCCATGTTGGCGCCAAATGACCTAGGCGCCAGTTATAAAGGTCAGAACCGTGATCAGGGCCGTCAATAACCTCTATATACAGACTTTCAGCGAAAAGTTTTCTCCTCGAGCTGAGCGCTTAAAGACAGCCCCCGCGATAAAAGTGTCAAGGACAGTTGCTGATCAATTATGAACAGTAGCTGATAAGTAATTCCTCAATGAAGGAAAAAAGCAACAAGAGCCCTCAAGAACACCACAAACAAAATTGCTCCCTTACAGTTACACCGCCCTGCGGTCCGTGGGCAACCCCTGGCTCACAAATCGCTTTATGGCATTTCCCAGTAGTGGACAACATCCAATTCAAAGAAAAGAATATGAAAAACAACAAAGACACGAACGAAAAACACTTGAAAAAAGGAAAAATTCAAAAACCTGGCGTCCGAATTTGGGGTTACGTGCAGTGTGCGGCTTTTGGTGCATGTCGAGCTTTTGCACCACAGAAATTGCATCATTCGTGATTTTTACGCGTTTTACCTTACGAGATGGGTTGCAGTTGACTGTATGTGCTCCCAATGAATAAAATGTGATGAAGGAGAGCAGAATTATTTATGGGCACGAGCGCGGTCAGCAAAAAGTACATGCAGTTCCGATTAATGCCCGCCGTCCCAACAAAAACAACTGAGCGGCCTCCGTCGGAGGGCATCTAGCAAGTGGGCGGTCCAACTGGCGGGCGTTAGAACTAGAACTTTGAGCGGCTGTAGCTCGCTCCTCGCTCACTGTGGAGTCGCGAGAGTGGGACAGTATCTAGCTTGGGGCTGAACTACCTGCACAAGGAAGGGCGACTATGTACTACTTGAGCGCGGGGGCTGTCTTTAATAGCCAATGCGTGCGGGTTGACAACAATTCAGTGCAAGAATGCTCTTGCAGCAAAACGGCGATAGGCTGCGCCGTGGTCAAAAATGAGTGTCGTACTCGTGAGTAGGGTATCCAGTCATCCCCGGAGCCCAACTTTCAGCAAGAGTTTCCTCAGTAATGTTTCGAGAGCGCAATAGTTAAGGGTCGACTCGTGAAGTTTGAGTGTACAGAATGAGCTCTTAAATGGCATATATCCATGTTATATACATCACCACGCACGCAGGAACACAAGGAGACAGAAATCCGAAAAACGCATAAAGTATCCGAAAAATGCAAAAAATCCGGCGCCAAGAGGACCCGATCCGCAAACCTTCTCCGTAAGAGCCGACCCACTATCCACACCGCCATCCGCCGACCACTGAACACTGGTTGCGGGAGTCGTTGAAGTAACTTCGGTACTACTTTTCTCCATGCACTACCTTTTTGACTTTATTTTTCTCTCTTTTCGATACATAGTGAAGGAACACCTCATAAACTGAGCACTCTCAAAGTTACAGCTACAACAGAGCCCAATAAGACGGTTAAAATCGCCCTTTCTTGTCAAATTGTTTTCACTCATTTTTTGACCTCCCCAGAAACGCATAGCAAAAATGAAACCCATTTTTGTAATCCTTGTATGGACCCCTACAACAAGCAACAAACCATTTTTGAAAAGCGCGCCACGACCTGAAAGACCTCCCTTGTTAGAGTGGTTGAAAAAAATTTACGTCAGCCACGTTTTCGAATATTCTCCGAGTTCTCTCTTGTTGTAACCTCGGCATCGTTGTTTATTCTGTTTATATTGCTATGCCACTCGAGGTTTAAGTGGGCTGTTTAATGAGTAAGTCTCATTCTCTACTGACTACTAGCCGCATGTGAAGCTTGGTGAGTGCACTCTTCGTTGTGTGGGCTTTCAGGTTTAGTTCCGAACACGCCATCGGAACTGCTAGGGTTGGTTGGGCGCTTAGTAAGGTAGTGTTCATTTCCTAACCTCGAAACGCGTTTAGGCCTCTGAAGAAGACGACCAAGTCGAAACGTTAGGCCGTAAAATAAAGATTTCCACCTAAAAACCTCGAGTGGCATAGCAATATAAACAGAATTACGTCAGTCAGTTTATCTTTTCACCTCCAGAACACCACACGTTTAAAGAACATTTTATTTTCGTTATTGAGAAGTAAACAACACATGAACAATTTTGGAACTTTACTTATTTAGCAGAGAACCCTCCAAAATGGCTTCTTTCGTGGAGGAGGTGCCGGAGTTGCGAACTCATTTCCACGACGAACCACATATTTGTAGCTGACACCGTCGCCAGGTGTCGTATAGACAGGCATCAGCCATGTCCCGGGAAACTTGCCAAATATTGAACAGAAATTCTCCCAACGTGATCCAAGATCAAATATCGCAAATTCATGATGCTGGAACGGAATTTCAGGAGTCAATTCATTGGGAACAGCGGACGAATGAAACAAACCATCTCATCCTCGTCAAGAAAACTGAGCTGTGAATCTTCGATAGTGGTCCGATTTAAGAAGAGGCTTTGTATTTGCGTTTTCAGAAGGGAACCCACTGAGACGGCAATCACCTAAATCACCTAGAGGTCACCTCGAGTGCCTGGAAATCCTTGTCCTTCAAAGGTGAGCGCGAATAAAACATTAGTCCTTCTTTTCCCATCCGGAGGAAGCTCATGCATACGGCTATTTGGAACAAAAGTCCTACGAATAGTTCAGGAGAACTTACCATTGCATTCATTATGGCACTGTTCAGGAGATGATGTTCTGAAGAGAGCGTTCCGCCCATCCAGAGAATGTAAGCGGTACGAAACGCGTACGGTATAGTGATCAGCGTGACGAATATCCCAAGGCAGCATGGCCAGAACAGAAAGAGCAAGAAGAATTTGTGGTTGTGATGGTGGATACATACCTGGATTAATCGAAATTCATTCTATTTCACCAGGTAGGGGGTTAGAAAGATGTTCCGAGATCAGGCTAGCTAAGTCTCCGCTCTACTGTGCTAAACCGGCAAAGGCACCCAGTAGCTACAGTCGTCATCCGGGAAGTTGATTAGGCGGTCGTCGAAGGGTCGCAGACGCGGCTGCAGCAGCGACCGCGTACGTAGGAACTGTTGGCGACGATCAGCTGTTTCCGGCCTGGTTTAGCCATTTTCCCCCTGCGCTCTTTGTCGACGGAGGGGGGGGGGCATTTTGCACTATCATTGCTTCCTCAGTTCCGGTTTACATGTCTCACTCTGGCGAAACCTGTGAACTCTTGTGAAGCTGGAACAAGGTAGTCAAGCCATCATGTTAAAACCTGTCAACTCGAGAAGAGGCTGTCTAGATAGGCCGACACGTCGATGGGAAGTAGCGAAAGTGCAAAATGCCCCCCCCCGTCGACAAACTGCTCCTTTTCCCCTACTTTTGAGTGTGTTGTTTTTTTGCTGCTTTTCTCAAGGTTAGTTGTTCCTTGTCTTCACAAGGTAATTATGATTGAGATTTCTGCGAAGAATTAAACGTCGAAGAGTCGCAGCCGCGTCTGCGACTGTTCGACGACCGCCTAATCAACTGCCCGGATGACGACTGTAAATCGTGGACGCTTAACCCACCTCCCCCCCCAGTACATAACTCCACCTGTAATAGAGGGCAATGATGATCCATCCGTAGAATACAACGGCGACAAATTTTGCAATGATGTGCCCGAGGGGGCTTGAGCACACGACACGAGTTGCAACAGTTGACCTGTGACAGAGCCTTTTCATAATGAAATGAAGAACAGGAAACTATGAAGCCATGGTAGCACCCAACTGAAAACAAATTCAACTTCGAAGCTTTTCTTTGAAGTTCTGAGCTTCTCTCTTCGCCGTCTTCTTTTTCGTCAACATGGTATTCTTCGGGAATTGGTTGAGCTACAGCGAACATCTGAATGTGCATGGCATGAACGCTGTAGGAGAGAGCCTCATGGGAATGGTCCTTCCAAGGTCTCCGTGCTAGTGGGATTTCCGTAAAGGTGGTATGTCGTATAGAATAACATTGGAGGAAAGCGCTGGGCTTCTTTCGTAGATTGCTGTACTGGGGAATTGGACAAGTGGAGAATCGCAGAGTCGCGGACTTGGGAAAATCAAAGAGTCTGCGAACAGGATTAGGTGTTTATCAGTTAGCTTTCCATGTCTGATCTCCGGTACTCCACTTCTACGGTTCACCTGTTTCTTAGTTGGGTAGTGTCAGCTAATGTGATCTAGTCTTTCTCGCGCATTCTCCGACTCTCCAGAATCGATGTACCTTCAAATGTGCACGGTACGAAC